TCATCTGTGCTCGTTGTATGCTTCGTGCGATGGACTGTGCGGCGACCGCGTCTACATCTACGGCCTCGACATCGGCAGCAGCGTCTACACCTACGGCGGCTTCCGCAGGCAAACGTGGCCGCCCACGCAAATACGCCACAACCGAGGAAGCAAGTGTTGCGGATCAATGCGGCAAGGCGAGTGAAGAGGCAGACAATGATGAGGGTCCGAACGTTTGCGGTCTGGTGGCCAACGGAAACGCAAACATACACCGAATACAATACCGGCAGAAACAGCTTTAATACGCGTAAACACATTACTCGAAAACATTTCACCCGCTGGATTATCACACTTTCGCATTCCTACACGTAAGCAATCTTAAATGCCTTCGGCGTCTTTTTTTATCTTTGTTTTGTTTTTAGTTTGCAATGAACTTTAGTTAGTAGTTTGTATACGAATCCACGTTTTACGGGGGTGGGGCATTCATGTATTCGAGTTCAGCGAGATGCAAATATATAGAGATAATAGCATTTTAGTTATATTAAATGAACTTTGTTTCTTTGAGAACATTAAGTGACTAGCAATGGTTTCACTCATACAACCTTTCTTTGTGATCCAGCCTTATAAAGACAAGCAGCCGTATTCACCAGTCGTGAATAACTAGAGCTGCTTTAAAGTTAGTAGCGCGTCTACGTAGTCCCGAGCTAATTGTACCATCAGCGACTAAGGAGCTACTATACTGGCGACAACTTTTCTTGGCAATGCAGTGGAGAGGAGAAGAACCCGCGCACAGCTTTATTGAGCGCTCAAAACGGGAGAGGGAAAGCGTACCTGTACCTTCCACTGCATTGCCAAGAAAAATTGCCGCCGAGTATAGTACTGCGGTATTCACGAGCGCGAAGCAAGCGGGTGAGTATCTAGTCGGGAGCAAAAAGCGGAAGTGACATATAAAGTTAGGTATCGCATGCTCGTACTAAGACGCCACTGAGTGAATGTGGATTTTATCACGTAAAAACTAATATGTAAAGATCTATTTGCAAAAGTGAAATGTTATAACGTGAAGATTATTGTCCGGGACAAAGGATTTCAAAGAAAAAAAAAGGAAATATAAAAAAACTTAAGGGGGCAAACACGGAAGCCGCATCGCCAGTGACATACCAGAATATGTAAGCTCCCGTAAATAGGGGCACTCTCGTCGTCCAGCGCCTCGCTGAGATCACTTGAGCTCTATCTCTGACCTCTGAACATGTCTATTCTCTCAATATTTGCTGCTCCGGTTCCTCCTGGATGTGTTCCCTCAATATTTCGAGACAGTATAAGGGCTTCATTAGCACTGGTGGTCAGCGGTGATAGGAGTCGGTTATGGCGCCGAGCCACTAGTCACCCGCTAAACACCGGCGAAGTCGTTTGGGGTGACTTATGAGCCCTAAACATGGTCGGTGCACACCGAGTGCTTACTTAGCTGCGATTACCACCTGCCACGTGATCATTTTAATCAATGACATAGTTAGTCAGCGGTTAAACGGGCGCTAGTCACGTCTTGCGAATGAGGTTGAAGATGGCTACTGGATAAAGAGCAAAGTGGTTCCTTCGGAGGATACCAGAAGAAAATATTCATCGTGCGCGTGAATCTTTTTTTTTTTTTTTGCCGCTGGAAAATAAATTTAGAGTGATTTTTATATGTTGATGAAGTCTGCGTAGCAGAATTGGCTTCAATTCTGCTACACATCCTTGTACACGTTACAAAAAAAAAAATACAGTATCGTACAAGTTATTGCCACTACAAGTCTTGTACACGTCAGTGTAGAAAGGAATCGATTACAATTACAATTACTCTCGGTTAAAAATGTATTACTTCAGATTACTTGAGAAGAAAAATGAATTGGCCATTAGTGCAGGAAGTAACCGTTACTTCTACGATTACAACGGATTTTCAAATCGACACATTTTTTTTTGCCGGTCTGAAAACGGGTTTTTCGTACCGTCCATTAATAAATTAGAAGCACCGAATTAGAGACTACTTATCGTCTTAATTCATTGATTTTCGGTAAACCATCCTTCTGTGGGAAACTTGGTTCAAAGATTCTTCAGTAGGAAACTTGTACAAGCAAAAAAAAAAAAAAGAGCAGGGAAAGTTTTTAAACGGTTACGAGTCATTAAAAAAAACAAAAACAGTAGTCAGATTAGTCTCACAATTACTTACTAATAAATTACTTCAATTGATTTCAAAGTTACTAAAAGAGTAATCGAATAAATGTATTTTGATTGCTTGCAAGTTGCAATGACTATCGTACGAGTCTGCCTGTTATAGTACGCGCACTGAAATAAATTTAATGTCGGCAAAGCAGCTCGTGGAAAAGTAAAAATTTCACGCTTCATTGGGAGTACCTAAATTCCGAAAAGGTAGTATGACCGTAACTTTGACAGTTATTTAACATTCTAAAAAAAATATATGTATCGTAAACACTGGTCTTTATGATTCTTCGAGATTAGTAAAATACAACCTGTGCACCTTGTATCGTTTTAGTTACGAACTATGGGTTATAGCAGCGAGTCGTAGAAGAAACGCGGGCATAAGCGCACAAAATATATACGTTTAGTTAGCAGCCTTATATTCAGAGCCAGCTAGTTCTTAATCATAGAGCGGTATTACGCGAAACCTTAATATTATAAAAAGACACGTGCTTCTTAAAAAAAAAAAAAAAAAAGAAAAAAAAACAGTGCGCACACACACTCAAGACAGGAAAGTAAAAATACTTCAAATATTACAAACAAAAAATCGACACTTAAAGAAACAATTCTGGGTGTTTTTTGCTTTTCTATTTTTATGGGTACATTAATCGCAGCTTTTTTGTGTTCAGACTTTTCAATTTCACAAAGGAGAGCTCAGAGTAAAAGCGAATATGCCATTTCCTACGTCAAGGTCATGCGGAATTCGGCGACATCTACATGAACCGTTAGCTCTAATTTTGTACCTCGATTGACTCGGGGATTTCTCACTATTGCATCGGCGAAAGCCTTCTACGCTGCACCGCTCAGCCGTCCCACGGGCGCACGGCAACATCTAGCAAAGAAGCAAAAAGCGATTATTCCGTCGGCATTGGAACCCTACACAAGACGTGGGTGCCACTTCAGGCTCATGTCGCGCATGCACCGGCGACACCCATGATTTCATGTAAACGAATGCGCCGACGTCATGTGCGTATTGCACGCTTCGCATCCAGCTTCAGCGCGATTTAATGCGACTGGCACTGCATGGTTCATCGAGGCCGAAGAAGTAAACACCTTGCACTGCATGCATATCTGAACGTCAGCGTCACCTATAGGTTGCCTTCGAAGAGATCATTCGTGTAAGGGCGTGCATTTTTTACTCGAACCAGCGTTTTTATTTCGCTTTAAAGTGGCGTACCCCCTATTGTGAAAGTAATAGTGGATACACGTGGGACTGATTGAACGGAGGTTCATACTATATTTGCTCAACACTAGACTGGTCTTTATATATGAAAGACAAGAAAAAGAACACGCGCGCATTCTTTCCTGTGACGTCAAGAGACAGCTAATCCTTGCTATTTACTTAAAAAAAACGAAAAAAAAGCCCGCCGAGTGACTGACGAGCCGCCGATAACGCTGAGGCTCAGAAATGAAATTTTTGTGGAGATTCGAAGCACGTGAGTGTCAAGCTCAGCCTCCCAACGCATGCCACGTCGCTCATCAAGACGTCATTCTTGTTTCGTCATTGGCTGGACGGATTTTAAGTCTCTCTGTTGTTGGCTTCCACGGTATCTTAAAAAAAATAAAATAAACGTATTCCAGTAAAAAAAAGTGAAGGCCTAGTTTCATTTTCATGAATACGATATATATAATTTAACCGAGCCGGGGGCTTCAACTAATCACACAAGCCTAGTCCCCCTATTCATTCCTTTTCAACGTAATCATAGCCGTCACTTCTCGATGCTGTACGCCACTAGCCATCGTATACTCATGCAATTGAAGCTCACAGTGCATGTAACGGTGTCGATTATGATTGTGTGGCAACGAAAATAAATCGGGAAACTGTGCTGGAATACGGCTGAAGCCCAGCAACTCGTAGCTGTGGCGTATCACATCCAAAGGGGACGACAATGAATAGACAAAACAGAAAGGGAAAAGGGAACAAGTCCCGTGTGCTTCGCTGAAAAATGACAAAAAAAAAAAAAAAAAAAAAAACGAATCCAATTTTTTTGTTTTATGGGGCCCAGGCAACGCGTGTCTACCCATATCCGCATGTTCACCGATGAGTGTGTTATCTAACGCTCAGTCACTAACGCTTCTGACCAAACTGCCCTTGAGAACGATCTTAACAACATTCGACAGTGGTGCAACCGCTGGCTAATGGCAGTTAACCCTGATAAGTGTAAACTCGTGTCTTTTCACCGCCGCCGTAACCCTCCTGTCTAACCTTTTGTTATCGCTCAAATTCCCGTTGAATTAGTGGACTGACACAAATACCTTGGTGTCACCCTCTGCAACGATCTACCATGGCGCATGCGTACAACTGGCCTTATGGCACCTGAAAACAGAACACTAGGATTCCTGAAGCGTCATCCACGGTGTGTCCCTCAACACGTGAAATTACTAGCTTACAAATCCTTCATTAAATCAAAGATAGAATATGCATCCGCCATCTGGTGTCCGCATCAAGTTTATCTTATTAACGCTCTCGAAACCGTTCAAAATGGCGCCACTAGATTCATTCATTTTTCATATTCGTACGATGTTATCATTTCATCACTGAAAGCTGAATTAGATCTATTTAATCCTTCTTGCTGTCGCGGCTTAAACAGTCTCTGTTTATTTCACAAGTTTTGTTATTCCTCGCTCGCCCATGCACCGTGCATTGTATCTCCTGCACGCATATACCAGCGCACCGGTCACCCATTGCAATTCACTCACCTACGCACCCGCATCACTATACCTTTTTCTCCCCATTTTTTCCCCGAGCAGCCTCTGACTGGAACAGCCTTTCCCACCAGACTCCTGCCATCACCTGGCCAGCAACCTGCATGGAACATGGAATTCATCATCTTCAACAATGAAGATCTGTGGCATTTGTGTATGTTTTTGTTGTAACCCACCCCGTATGTAATACACCCGATGGAGCTCTTTAAGGAAATAAAGTTAGTGAAGTGAAATGAAAGAGAAAAACAAAACAGGATGACCACTGAAGCTGGTGGGAAGAAAGCAAGAATGGAATCTAAGAGAGAGAGAGAGAGAGAGGTACAGAGAAAGAGAGAAATAGAGAGAGAGGCAGGCAACGTTTCTCTAAGATATCTTCATAAAGGCTAGGTATCATCATTAAAGGTCAACTGTATTCTAAGGCTTCCTTGATAATTTTGTTTCAGAGTCGAAGAATATAATGCTGGTAAACGTGACCTGTGGCGAATTTTACTCGAGACATCGGTAAGTCGCTCAAACGGTTGGGCGCGCAGATGATTGCATTTTTATTGTGAATGGAAAGGAATTTGAGAAAGGCCAACGAACGTAAAAAAAAATATATACTTAAAAAAATTTGCTTTATATTTTTGTACATTCTCTAAAACACAGACATTGGCTGGGTTGTACCAGTACACACATACACAAAAATGCCCATTCGAAGAAAAGCTGGAGCTAGAAGAATGCAAGATGTACACCGAATCGCGCCATGACAACCGCCCTGATATGAGGGAAGAAAAAGACCGGGAGCTAAAATAATTGGTTGTCACACGTCGAGACAGCTTCGTCTCTTTAGGGGGGCGCCGGATTCGTTTCATGCACTGCTGCAACCAAATCACAGGTGTTGGGGTCTGGCTGATGATTTTTTTTTCTTGCTTTCTTTGTATCACTCAAGTCTTCAAAAGCAAAGTCTCAATTCCAAAATTGAGGGCCTCTGTCTAAAAAGTCAAGGTTACGCTGACTTACTTTTTAATTTATTTTTGCGTTCGAATACCCAAGAATTTGTAATTTGGAAGGCACCGAGTAGCGAACTGGGAGACGATTGGTGGAAAAGAAAAACGAGTATCAAATGTTAGACCCGTGTAAGCGCAACCATTAGGTTACCAGATATGAGTTTTTTTTTTATTCCCCCCAAAAAAGCGGATAAAGTCAGGGTACTGATTCCAATTAGGAAATACCTTATTGTCGTTCTACACAACGTTACGTCACAAATATTTAACGAAAAACATCGCTGCATCTCTCCACAAGGAATTCAGCACTTTTCCAATAATTGCTGCGTACACCTTACCATGTAGCACATTATATAGACTAAGACTAACGAAAGTAATTTAACAGCCCGCAAGTCCAGATATTCTAAAAAGCGACCCTAATGATCATCATTCGGTGTGAGGTAGTAAAAAGTATAATATTCATGGAAGGACATTGATAGACCTTGCAGACAAGTATGGTCTACAACTGATCTCCATTTGGGGGCAATCTCGCGTACTTCAAAGGGGTAAGGATCGATAAGTTGCCCTCTAGATACTTCCCCGGCATCTTCTTGTCTTTCTGCGAAGACATCATGGTTTCGGGATGTGGAAACCCTCAAAACTCAAATATGAGTAGATATTACTGCATAAAAGTGGGCAGAAGTGTGTTCTATACCAAACGGAAAATAATTCCATGAGAACAGAGTGTTCACCATGGGGTGAACAGTAGAAAGGATCTTTCACATGGTAAGCGGTTGCACTTCACTGGATAAATTGCTCTACAGCTGAGACGCTAGACGCCCATTGGGGCTGACTAACGTCCGGCTGTATATGCATGCACACAACACAATTACACTTACATATTATAATCTCTGCGAAATCTGAAGCTACGAGGTCTGTCAAGATGTCAAATTTAGGCAGCCGAGAAGAGCGAATGTGAACTGCTTCGCACAATTAGTCGCCGAAAATTCCGATTCTCCCGGGGCGAAAGCCACGGTAAGGCTGTCATTTCAATTCTCCGCTTGAAATGACAGGTTACTTGTTATCATTCTCTGATATAAGACAGCAGCCAAATGATAGCGAACATGTGTTTATTTTTGAATTGACAAAGTCTCGGGAGTTTCCTTTATAACATTTCACAATGTAATAAAGGCGAAGGATTGAAGCTTCCCGGGGTGGTGAGCACATCATTGACATCCGATCACCTTTGGCGTCGTCTTCTTCTCCCATGCTTTCAGAGAAAACGAAGAGAGTGGAACAGACGCATGTCACAAGGAAGAGCCAGAAGACCGTGACGGAGTCCTCGCCTTCGGTTTTCGACGATCCAACGTTGAATCATCAGAATTCTACGAAGCCAGACGAGGTCGCCAACCTCGACTGCGTCTCCATCGGCCTCAAGATAAAAGTAGAAAAAAAAAAAAAAAATAAGAAAAGGATGGGAGCGGGAGAGGGTGGAGGGAAACCGTCGCTTTTTGCTGCTGTCAACGATTGCGTCTGCCGTCAAATTTCGAATGCACAAAACACTCACCCCCCCCCCCCCCCCCTCAAAAAAAAAAAAAAAAAACTTAAAAACTTTAGGGTTATTTATACAAACGAAATGTATTTGCTTGACAAATATTCAGAAATAAATGACGATATATTTCAAAAGTTATCCGAAATATCGTTAACGGAAATGGCGGGTGTTATAGAGGTTCAGAGGGTTGGAACAACGCGCTCATCCATGGGCCCAGGGTTTTAGCTTTTATATGCAAAAAAAAAAAAAAAAAAAAAAAACTCAAGAAACACAAACCAAAAGCAACCTGCATTGCCTCAATCTTTAATATGTAATGCACCAGTATGAGACGGGCGGGAATAACCATGGAACATTTACGAAACTGTGGCCAATCACTTTGTCTAGGATCGGGCGAGAGCCAACTACCCCCCAAGTAAAAAGTTATAGGAGCGGCTTCAGGGCTCTTGCGATGTAGTCAATACATTATGTACTCTTCAACTAGCGGCTACAGGCCGGTTCTCACATGTGCATGCAGTGCCACGGTCAAATACGCTCATTTGGGCTCAGTTACAGTCGGTTTAGAACTGACTTATTACCCGTGCCACACGGGCAACTCGAATGCCCTTTACTACGAATGACATTCGTGTGATCGACGAATTGGCTCGCGATCTGTCGCCCGTGGAACGCCTCACGCTCGGAGTGTCGCACGCTGATTGGCCGATCGTTCAAATGTCATTCGTTGTAAATGGCATTCGAGTTTCCCGTGTGGCACGGGCATTAGAGCCCTATCAGTAATTTATAAACTTATATTTTTTTCCATCTCAATAGAGAGTTTTTCTACTCACTTGTAGCAATAGCGCTGTAAAACCCCGTAGCACAACGAGTTTCCCGAGATGTCGCGCTGGGCCAAGTGCCTTGTTCTAGACAGGCCGTAGCCAATCTATCGTAAATTTTGGTCTGCTTTCAGCAATGGAGATAACCTGCTATTGAGAACGACGACGTGTGTATAACGACATTCCTTGTACCTCCACATCCTATCTGTTGCTCTCAAATGAGATTAAGCTGCAGGGATCTCAAGCACTGACTTACCCCCTTGCAAAATCCAAAATATAAAATATGAAGACAAAAAAAAAAAGAAAAACCCTCACCGCTATTTTTCATGCCATTGTTGAATTGGTTGATTGACGCGCTCAACCAGCCACTCACACTATTCAGGTGCACAGGAAAGATAAGCACGTTATCAGTGCTAAGTGAGCGCCGCATCAGGCATGTTTCCTTATGTCCACGATGATTAAACTTTGCATTGCATGTGGAAGCAGGTACTGTAAAAAAAAAAGTGAATATGAATAAGAAAGCACATGGTTGTAATCGCGAAGACTTCTTTTAACACTTAATGGCATGGGCGTAATTAACCTTTCTCTCCAATCAAAAAACGAAACAAAATAAAATAGCGGATGTACATTTATACAATGGCATGTTTTATTTTTATTGACCTTGAATCAATGTTTCCGAGGGTGGCCACATATAAAAGCCCGCGTAAAGTAGCCTGGGTTAAAGTACTTGTCACATGAGCCATATCGCGTCCTTACTTACCGATCCGCCTACCTACTGAATGTAACACCAAATGATAGACCACTGTAGAACGTGAGTACACACATCTGAATGTGCGAACATATTTGAGCACTTCTCTACGCGTCAAAAATAAAAGATAACTAGTAAAGAGCTGCAGTTTCACCACATTGCTTGTTACCAGAGGGAACAAAGAGTTTTCGCTGTCGACCTATGACTTTTTTTTTTTTCTTTTAGTCAGCGCAATCTTTGAATAAGCTTTTTAGCGAGACAAAAAACAATCTTCTCTTAATTATAATTATGCACGAGCAGGTGTCTTTGATATACTCAACTCTCCCGAAAGTAACTAACTGCAGGTTGAGAACAAATCGTCCCATCCCATGACGCACCGTGTCATTCTCCTTCTGGCGACAATCAACCTGCCCGTACGTTTGCCCCGTTTTACCGGCGACGCGTGCAGGAGAGGTCCGGGCAGGCGCTCCTATAAAGAACAGATTAGGAAGGATGTCTTTTAAATCTGTCTTCAACCTCGGAGCCAAAAGCCTCATTTGGCTCCACGACCGGGCGTCCGCAACAAAGCGAGCAGTCCAGCCTTGACTCGGTCCGCGCAGCGAACGTACACAACAGTCTCCGAGGCCGGAGCCACTGATAGGCGGTGTCGGCAGAGCGTGTCGGCCTCCTCCTCCTTTTCTCTTCAGGTCAAGTTCAGGGTGACGTCCAGAGCTTTGTTCCCGGGCGCCTAATTATACGCTACTGCCTCCGGCGGCGGGCCGCCCGAGACCCCCTCCCTTCACTGCCTGGAGAAGCTAGTCCGTTCGCCCAACGGCCGCCACCAGTGCGCTGGCGGGGGAACGGGCATGGCGTAAAAGGTTTCTTGTTCTGTAGAAGCCAGGCCTACTTAAATAAGAAAAAGACTGTTTAACTAAAAAAACAACATTTTTTTTTTTAAATAAGTTTTCGCCGTTGAATGATCACGTAGAAAAGTAATTTTTACCGTAAGAGTAATGTCCCAAGGATACTCTTCAATGCTGTTACAATTTCCTTCTTACGATGGCACTTCAGGATTTAGTGTAGATTGGTGTCGAGTCAATAATACAGCTTACCAGATCAACTTGGTTACAAATTCGCAATCTCCCCCCCTGTCTGTCACCTAGAGCCGCTATTGTCACCAGTTGGTTCAAGCGCCACGATGCGGGTCCACGCTGCGGCGCGAACCCGCATTGACAGTTCAGATAGCAGACGCACGCAGCTTGTAAAAATTAGGTAAAGCTCTTATCAACTGGTGATTATACCGTTGTGGAGAAAAGATGGGGAGTGTACAGCTCTCGCAAGCGAGCCTCTATATGGAAGTTTGCCAACGGAAAGATAACACTAGGTAGTAAGTCTGGATGCTGTAATGATTTCCGCGTTGCCGGCACGATATAATGTCTTTCCGATATTACGACGATGTATTCAGCCATTACATCTTTGAGGTAGGGGGTAGCAAATTAGCATTTGACGCTTTTGAAATCCTACCAGGATGTCAGTGTTCTCGCCGAGAGATGGTGCCCCGCGATCTCTCACCAATGCGTTCAGAATACTTACATATGGCGAGAGTTTGGGACTATGGAGAGCAAGTTCTCGTACAGGAGTTGCGGTGACGTCAGAATGACGCCGAGCTCTGATTGGCTTTCATTAAAAGGACAGTGAATAGACCTCAATGCTAGATGCCTAAACGTCCGCTCACTATTTTTTTTAAATTTTTTTATCGGCCAATACGGGTTCGGCGTTCTGAAATCATCACTGCATTGCTAGATTTGTTTCTTAAATCTCCCGGCTGTAATCGCAAGCTTCAAGGAGAAACTTTTAAGCAATTGCTGGATAGGGTTTCCCCATCGTTATAAAACGTGTTCACGACAACAATTAACGACCGCATTTACGTGATTTTACCGTCAAAATGAGACTTCAATATTTTGCTCAAAGCCGTGGTCACCCACATACAGTCTGCCGACATTAGGGAGTTTTAGGGAACCGATTTTGCACATCCGATACGGTACGATGAGCCGTCCGGTACGAACTGCGCGTGTGAGAGCTTTGTGGTGGCGCACGCGCAGTACGTACCGGAGGGCCCATCGTGCCACATGGGATGTGCAAACACGATTCACTGCAACTCTCTACAGTTTGAGGCATGTTTCTTCCTTGTTTGACGGCCCTGCCCCATTGGTTATACAAATAAAACTGTCTGCAGAAATGTTAGAAGGATGTAAATGTATGAAGCAAACACGATTCGAACTTGCTTGGGGTATATCCGCCAATAGTTCTGTGATTACGTGGCAGCGAACACAGCGTCTTTTATGATGTGCGAGCAATCTGACTGCGGTTTTATGCGTTGCCATGCGAACGATAAAATGATTAGCATTATTATCGTTAAAGGAGTGCCCCGTTGACTTCGTGAGGCAACTTGCCGAAGAACGTTTCGGAACTAGCTATGGGTTGACACGACATTGGCGTGGCATGCAAACAATGCAATTAAGGAAGAGCTTCGGTTGTATTTATCTTTCGAAGGAACTGAACTTGTAACAAAAGCTCGCTCCTAAACTTTCTTACAACAGGTACTGAGCTCCAGCGAGCGATTGTCTCAAAAATTGTCCTTAGAAGTAATAAAATGCCACCAATTGTTTTAATATATTTTCGGGGATGCAGCATTTTGGTCCATGCTTACATTATATTCAGCGATGGACCAGTGACAACGACGACTATGCCATCCTCGACTGCTTTTAATTTTTTTTGAAGTCCGGCGATATTTCGAAGTATCCTGTTCCTAGGGTGAAGTATTGAATTAGGTTTAAACGTTTACTGGTCTCCGATGAGAAGTTATCCTACACGAATTCATACTTTTTAATATGCAATCACTTTCCCGTCTATGACAAAGTGGATAAAAATATACAAAAGGACAGCGAAGTGTGTTGTCGAAAAGGGTTTTCTTTGTTTAGACACACAGACAAAGACCTAGAAACGAAGCGATGGAGGAAGCGAGGAGGGCGCAGACACGCGAAGGAAGCTTCTCCAGCGTCGGTGTGGCAGTGCTCAACAAACTTGGAATCGGTCAGCAGAAAGGTCCGATTCCTCTCCCGATCCACTGGGTCACTACTCTACCCACTTCGGCAGTCAAGCCGCCGGCCAAGATAGAATCGAGACGCGCAGCCGGCAAGGAGGGCGGGGAAAGTCGGGGAGAAACTGGTCCCGATGCATCATCGCCAAGCGTCGACCGTTGGCCGTTGAGAGCGTGTTGCGTGACGAGCGCCAAGCAGCGAAAAGGAGCCAAAGGAGGGCTCACGCGTCACG